CTCTGACATCAGCTCAAAGGCCCTGGGCGTCTGCCTGCATGCTGAGCCCCAAGACCCAGCAGGCTTGGCTCCTTCCTTTTCCTCCTGGGGCTCTGCTTGGCCTGCAGTCTTGCATTTTCAAAGGGAGAGTCCAATCTCCTCCCCGGGGTTACATATCGACAGGCCTGATCTTTAAAGATACCCCCTTGCTCCTGGGGGCCTGCTCAGCAAACACAGAGCATCTGCGGCTTCCATGTTTGTCCTCTTTGACAAACAGGGGTTGAGCAGCTCTCGGTGAAGTATTGCTGACATATTGATTGGCTCTCTTGTCGGGTTGATCCTCTGCCAGCCAATGAACATAGAAGGTTCTAAATGGCACCCAGCAGGGCCCACACATACCCTAATTACTATTTCAGACAACCCCTTTCGGAAGCTGCCATTTTTCCAAGGCCTGGCATCTCCGTGTCCTCGTGCTGGCTGGAGAATCCTGTCACCTGTAACCAACCTGCTTTCTCTAGCCGAGGCTTGCCTTCTGCGTATTTCTTTTGGAACCCATCTGTCACTTAAACACAGGAACATCAATGAGAAACTATTAATCAGCCTGCAAGGAGGTCTGACTATTGTTCTGGCAAAAACCTGGGATCTGTGTGTGGTCTTCCCATGTGGCCTTAGGTCCTTTTCAACACTCAGGGAAGGTGCTCTCTCTCTCCAGTTAGCTATGGGATACATCCAGGGTTTGGCTGCTGGCTGTGCTTTCTAATGGCTGACTTCCCAGATACCACCTGGATTCCATGAGCTTCCCCTCGAAGTTCTTCCCCGCCCCGTCCTTGCTGACCCATAGAGCCCCATTGTTCCATCCCGGCGTCTCTCTGGAGTGGAGCCTGTCAAGTCATGATGAATTGTACGTTTCAGCTGTCAGTGGGGGCGGGTAATGCGAAGGAGAGGGTTTTCAGAACTCATTTCACTTCTGATCCGGACATGGTCTGAACCAGACCTTTCGGGATGAGCTGCTAGAGCATTCAGAGGAGGAGGAGGAGGAGGAGGAACCGTCCCAGGACAGCTAGAATATCTCCGCCAGTAAAATGTGAAGTGATGGGCATTTATGTGAAGTACTAAGGTGAAGAAGTAATAACTATGGCTGTCCCAAGGTTTCTCACTGTCTACTCTGGCTCTGGTAACAAGAAAAAAAAGGTGAAGGTATTACAATATTCAAATATTTTACTATCTATAGAAACAGGCATAATGACCCTAAACAGGGAATTAATTTCCTGTCTGGATTTCAGAAAAACCACTGACCTGATAAAATTTAAGGAATTCACAGAGATCTGTTCTGTAAACATATCCTCTTTCCTTTTCTTCATAAGTGAATGTATCGGTCAGGGTAGACTAGGCCATGCTGATGTAACAAAGAACCCCTAACGCTAGGTGGTTCTCTGCCATAACAGTTCATTACTTTCCTCACTCTGGCTTCTGACACTTGTCAGCCATGGCTAGCCCTGTCCAATGGCCTTTTAACTCAGGATCTAGAATCCCTATGTCATGCAGGGTACCCTGTGAGTCACAAGGCCACATCTGAAATCAACAGCAAAAAGAAATAAAAAAGTTCCTCCAGGTAGCAGTGATACAAACAGCGAACGGCCATGCATCAAACCACTTTGCTGATGATGAATTCTGAAACAGAAGCAAGTTTGTCTGAGATGCCATTTTCCCATGGACTTTGTAGCCAGATCTCTACAAAGTATGAAAGAGGAACCATATCCCCCGCATAGTTCTGCTCTGATTCTGAGATTCCCCCAAAGGTAAAAATTTATAGTCAATACTCCACTCATCTGTGAATGAGTATCATGGAGTACCTACCGGGAACTCTTTAAGATAATGTATATGATATGTTAATGAGTGAATGCTGAGCTTAATGATTGACAGCAGGTATATGATATACTGAAGATCAAAATGGCCTTCTCTTTATACTCGTCTATTTTGCTACCTGTAATCTTCCATCCTGTTCCCTGTACCTCCACGCTGGATTTCTGTTTTTTAGAAGCATATAATGTTCTACAGTCCAAGCTTCCAAGTATGTCCCCAAGTGCTATTTCCTATCCTTCTAAACGTGGATGTGGCGCCTATGTTTGAGACACTACCAGCTCTTCGACAGAGCTATGCACAACCCTCTTTGGCCCCTAAATGCTGCCTTTATTTCACCTGTGATGGTGCTTTTACAAAAGAGAAAGGGAGAGGTGGATGGAATGATGCATCCATAGCCCAAACCATAGCAGCGGTCAGTAGCAGGGTAAGCGGGAAAGCTTTTATTAGTCAAGAAACTCATTTACTTCATAGCTCTCCTGGGTCTCTAACCCGAGGACACTTCCCTCCAGGCCCACAGGCCAGAGAGATAGTCTCATTTTATTCCTCAGGTAGGGGAACAAGGAACAGCTGATCAAGAAACACCAACACATTAAAACAACAACAACAAAAGCCTACTCAGATATCCTTATTCTTCCCCCCAAAATAAGAAAAGGTGGCTGTGTCTTCGGTGCAATTCTCTTGTCTACTTAGCATTCAGTTCCACGAAGGGGAATATGCCCGAGCTTGAGTTCTGCTTTTGAGCAGAGCTTCTGCTGGTGGATAAGTACTCAGCGATTTGGCTTTTTCCCCTTTTCTTGTCTTTATCTCATGTATTTTCCAACTCACTCCCAGAGCGGTCTGAGTAGTGGCTCACATACTCTCACCCTCACCCCTTTGACCTCATGACGGTTTTTGAATACTTTTGATAATGTCGATGAGATGATGATGATGATGATGATGATGATGATGATGGTGGTGGTGGTGGTGATGGTGATGGTGATGATGGTGATGATGATGATGATGATGATGATGATGATGATGGTGATGATGATAATGGTGATGGTGATGATGGTGGGGACGATAACAATGATAAAGAGCTACAGTAGAAACAAAGTGAATGTCAAGGAAGCAGGAGGGAAGACATCCTTGAAAATAAAACATGGTGTCATGAGTGTCCCTGTATGCTCAGTAAGATGACAGCCCTGTCTACTATTTCCCCAAAGCTGGCGATGGCAATATACCCTGTCCCTTAGAGTGACAAGCCTGAGCAGTATACGAGGGGAGCTATTCTGAGGAGCAATTGCATGTGGATAGGACACTGGGGAGGTTGTCATCTTGGTCTGCCAGGGCCCACTGTTTTCTCAAAGACATGAGCATCAAAGCTTTTTTAGGCTGGGGCCCTACCTGCACCTAGAATGCTTTGGTGGCGGCGTCTGTCTCAGCACTCGGGGACCCTCCTCCAAAGAGCTACTTCTTTGGTGGAATAACAGCTGACTCCAGGCAAGCTCCAATAACCCAATGGTATTAGGCTTTTTTTTTTTGAAAAATCATTTTAAAACAGCTAATTCCTTGGCTCCCTTCACCTGGTAATTACAAATCAGAAGCTATCGTTATCTTGAAGCAACCACGATTACTACTCATTTCCTGACCTCTGTATGGTGAAAATATGTCATTATTTGAGGCAATAGACTCTGGTCTCTTCAAGTAAGTGACCTACATAGAACGGATAAACTGCGGGAGAAAATTAGGTGTTACCTCAACAGAAAGAGTACAGTAAATGTCACTTATTCTTATTAGTATTTATCATCTGGGAAAGTTGCGACCATGGGCCTTGCACCTCCTGGAAACGTAGAGCTGGAAAATGTGGTTTGGAGGTGGAGAAGCCTGTGAGCAAAAAAAAAAAAAAAAAAAAAAGCAGACACATACTCTGCCAGGTACCTTGCCACCTTAATCTGCAGCCATCAATCTAAGCTGTATTGTGTGAAGATAGGATTTTAACCTTAATAGAATGCAGCCTGACTTTAAGTGGTGGTAGGCATGCAGAATTAATTGCTATGCGAACAATTTCCTAAGCATTGTTAATTGTGTTTCCCGTGGTTAATTGTTTCTCCCATCCCGCGTCACACTCAGAACTTTGCTGTCAACAGCCCTTTCTCTCCTACCGAGCTGTGAACGTGGCAACAGGCATCAACCTGTGCCCATTGAAATGCCAGACAGACAGGGCACCATCGTTGTTCATGGGGGAAACAGGCAGGGGAATGGATTCCTTATTTATTTACAAACGAAGCATTCCTTAGATGAGGGCCTGGAAAGAGCGCAGGTGTTCCCCTCCCCTCAGGAGCAATAGAGCCAGGATCGGTCAGGAGTGGGTGGTGCACTGAGTTTTCTAAGCTAACTGGGTCTCCTCACAAGCTGAGAAACAAGACTGGAAGGCTGTCTAGAGGGTGAGGTGTACACGGAACTTGACCTCTGAGGACATGCTTGTCTCCTGAAAGGAAGTGTTTCTGGGCACCCCTTCTCTGTCTCATTCCATACTTAGGGAAAACGAATAACACTGTTTGCATTGCTTTTTTTCTGGAAAAGGTTCTGCCACTACTACAGGCACACACACACACACACACACCTTTAGACATTTTCACCGTGTGCTAAAATATAAGCAATTGTCAGGAAGAGAGGGAGAAAGAAAGTTTGGCACACTTACATAGGTGTGCTTCCCAGTAGGCCAGTGCAATAGCAGATACCTCTGGCTGCCTTTTAAGGCCAGTCAAACGGGTGCAGGGGAGCCTGGTTTTTGAACTTGGCTCACACTTTGAGTAGCTGGGAGAACCCCGCCTTTGTCGGTGCACCTGTCTAAAAGCAGGTGTGAGGAGGACAAGCAAGGAAGAGATAGAGTGGCCCATCCTGAAAGATCAGACCTATGTGTCACCCCCTCCTCCTCCGCTTCCCACGAGGGGTGCTGCCCTTGAGGCTGGGAACTGCTGCAGAGAGAAAGAGACAGAATCTGCTCTTGGATTGCCACTTTCTGTATTTAGCTAATCCTGAAGGCCTGGGGCAAGCCATTTTTGAACTGCAGTTTCCTTAAAAGGCAATTGCTTGGAAAAAGGCACCTGGCCCTCCCCCTTGACATTTGCATTGCTGAATTATCTATTCATATTTTCATTACTTTGTCTCTCCTGCAGCAATGCATCTGCTCGGACTCAATTGGCAACTCCAGCCGGCAGATGGACACACCTTTAACAATGGCGTAAGGACCGGCTTACCAGGAAACGATGATGTGGCAACAATGCCATCTGGAGGCAAAGGTGAGGTTACAGCTGCTGCTTGCCCTATTGAGGTCACAGGAAAATTCAGGGCTCTCGCCAGCTGCTTCAGGTTTTTTAATCCAAATCTTGGAAGGCACGCAAAAAAAAAAAAAAAAAGAGAAAGAAAGGGAAAGGAAAAAAGAAACGACTGCCTTTCATAGGTGCCCCATTTAAAAGCTGTTTGCTGTTCCTGTCTGTTAGCTGTGTTTGGCTGGAGTCACTTGGATCTGGCACAGTGCCTGCTCCAAGCAGTGTGCATACCTATGCTATCTACAGCAACTGGCACGGTGTGGCATGCTTGAAAGCATCCCAAGGCCTGAACAGAAGCAGCAGCAGCAGCAGCAGCAGCAGCAGCAGCAGCAGCAGCAGCAGCAGCTGGAGCAGCAGCAGCAGCAGCAGCAGAAACCTGCCTAATCAGAAGGCAGGAAGCAGCTGGCTGTACACGCCACTAGCCTGGGTCCCTCTCCCACAAGGAGAGATACAGCCTCCCTGGGGAGTAGGCTCGCCTGACTCGCCTTGAGAGAGAAAGAAACAGAGACAGAGCTGTTCTGCTTTGGGGGAGAATAGAAGGGAGTTTTGACAACTCGGCAACAAAGCTTCCCTTCTCAGAACAGTGAGGAGGACAATAGAAATTGTTCGCTGAGGCAATCACTGTATTCTTGTAGGGGAGAAAAATAGGCGCTAACAAGGTGCTAAAAAAGAGGAGAGAAAAACAGAGCGGTGGAGAGGTGGGGACGGGAGCAATTAAAAGGCAAGAGCAGCCAATGGCACCGCTAGCGGGGCTGGCGTTTGGTGGTGTGGTGCCATTTGAGTTATTCGGGATGGAAATCACATAAGCCAGAGATTGTAGTGAAAGGGCTTCTCCAAACAGATTTTCTCCGTCCATTTCTTAGTCACCTGTACATACGCATGGGCACGCGCGTGTGCACACACACACAACACACACACAGTTTTTTTTTTTTTTAGAAAGCACCACAGGAATATTTTAAAGTATAGTAGAGGAGCCCCTATAGGTCTGTCATAAGCCCAGCACAGCATAGTGTAACTTCAGCTTAAAAAAATAGGAAAATCAGCATCTCTAAGACATTCAGGCCCGGGATATTCTAGAAACTTCACCAAAGAAAAACAGGACAGGTCAAACTTGAATTCAGGTCTGTGCAGCGTACATGTTTGGACAGGAGGTTGGCTTTTCTTGTATCTCCTGCTCTCTGTCGAGAAGACTCCAGACCCCCACTGCCTCAGGTGTGTATGGCTCACCCTGATACGCCAACAGTCTTTAAATCAGTCTCCCCAGAGCTGTCCTACACCTTCGGGTATGGCTTCTGCCTTTTTACCCAGTGTTGAAGAATCACGCTTCTCATCTGTCATAATCATAACGCTAAATTACCTTTAGCTAAAGTAAGCATGAAAAAGCTCTACCTGAGGATAAAATGATATGATTTCCATTATCAAGTGGGTAAAACCAGTTCTCAAAATAAAGAGGATATCTCACCCCTAACTGGCCATGCTCGGCTTTAACTGACCACAAAGCCCAGAGCCAAATTTATTGTCCTCAGTTTTGAAATCTATTCACCTCCAGTACTTGACCCCACTCCCTTCCAGTTCCTTTACAACGGTGGCTCTCATTTTGGCCCCTTGGGAGACATTGGCAAGGACTGAAAAGGGTTTTTTTTTTTAACTGTCGCAGTTGGAGGAGGTATAGCTAGTGGGTTAAGGCCAAGGGTGCTGTTAAATGACCTACAGTAACACTAGCTAGCCCCCTATCATGAAGAATTACCTCAGCGCAGACTACAACAGGATGGCGCTTAAAGCCCACCTTCAGGGAATCTCTGCTATGTTCATCCATTACTGTCCTTCAACACCAAGTCAACACCCCCTTCCTTTCAGACAAATCAGCACACACATTTGAAAGTAAAGATGCAGATTATTCCATCAGGCATGGGAGGTGGAGACAGACATATTCTGAAGTTGTACACAGCTGCTTTCGAATTAGTAGCCTTCACCTCGGGACGCCATGACCTTCACGGGCCTCCAGAAATGGAAATGTCCCCTTTTCCTTTTGTCTTTATGTTCCATTTCCTAGACACCTCAACATCCCACATCACGGTCAGATGACCGAGGAAAACTCCTTCGAGAACAAGCCTTAGGCATATTTGTCTCGAAGTCAGTGGTTCTCAACCTTCCTAAGGCTCCACCATTTATTACAGTTCCTCAAGTTGTGGTGACACCCGCACCCCTCCCCCAATATCCAACCATAAAATTATTTTTGTTGCTACTTCACAACAAGAGTTTCGTTTTAGTTGTGGATCATCATGGAAATGTTTTGGGAGATGGAGGGTTTGTCAAAAGGGTTGTGACCCGCAGATTGCGAGCCACAGGTTGCAAGCCACTGGTCTACGGTAACCAGTGTGTGTGTCCTTTCCACTGTGGCTTTGGAAAGAGCAGAATCTTTGCCTTTCCTACACAGTGGGCTTTAAAACAGAGAGTACAGCCTTTGCGATGCCACCGCTTCTGAGGTTGTCCAAGTGAGTTATGGGACATGCGGGGGAGGCTGTTTGCCAAAGCATTGTCCTGTGGGTTTTGCTCACTGGGCCTTTATAAAAAGGGTGAAACTTCAAAATTGCTTAAAAATGAAACAAAACTCAATACCTTTTCTTTCCAAATGCCAAAACAGTACTCTAGTGATGACTGAAGAGCCCGGATTGCCTCTTTGAGCTTAAAGGAAGTCTTGTAAAACAACAGGAAAGATTGCTAATGTCCTTGAGTGACTCGAGATTTGAATTGCGAGACCCAGTGACCTCCCCATTCCTCACTCACCAATTCTATACATTTAGATAACCCAAATCAATTCCCATCGACCACTCTCCCACTGTTTCAAAGAGACAATCAAGACATATTGGCAATAAGTTAATTAAATAACACCCCCTCAATTTTTTTGTGGTATAGGATAATCCTTCACTCCGATGTTTTAATCAAGATTCACCACACATTGCCAGGGAGGTTAATCTTATTAAGCAATTACTGGGTAAGTATCCAGCAGGAGCAAATTAAAATGTAAGCAAAACACTGGCATGTGTGCGCGCCATCTAAGATGGTCTATCGATAGAGATTTCATTAGTTTGTCTTCAGGAGTATTTACATTGTGCAGGTTTGGGAAGGCATCTAATAGACAGGACAGCCTCCACACTCTGATATGATAGTGGAAACAGCTCACCATTCATTACTTAGGGGAGTGTATTCTTGGGTCTGTGTCTTCCTCTTTCTTTTCCATTTACAGTTGCCCGTGGTTTATTTTTCCTCCAATCTCTTTCAATTAAACCTTAACATAGACTGTCTCAGGCTCCACACTGAGAAGAAGCCACACGTGGGCTGCCAGAATCACTCACCATCTCGTGTGTATTTCTATGTTCACAGGAATGAACTCCTTCATCTTCATTAGAGGGGCACAAAGTGCTTTTGCTATAGATCTGGGATTAGATAAGCCTTGAGAATGAAGATTCGATACAGTATTCTGACCTGGTCAGATAGCATAAAGGAATCCAGCTTGATTGCCTGTGCCCAGAAATAAGGTGTACAAGAGCTTCGCCAGGGCACGTCACTGGCCCTGGGTTTGTGCACCGATCTTAACAAAGAATAGAGTCTCAAGTAGAATTTCATGGATTGTTCTCAAAATCCATCAGTCATTTTGTATTCCTCCTGTTCTCTGTGTCACTAGGGTTAGCAAACTATGTCTCATGAACCAAATCTGGCTGGCCACCCGTCGTGGTGATAGTCTCTCTTGGTGCATAGCCAGGCCCGTCAGACTGTGGACACAAACGGGTGCAGTATTTGCAATTTTACCCTTTAATAAAAGAAAAACTCTGATGACTCTCCCATATCACTTACAAACTCATTTCTACTTCTCTAGAACCTTTCTTGTACCCACATTAAGGATTCCAAGATCCCAACACCCCTATTTCTCTTTCTTCACCAAGCGCTGGTTATGTATGCTTCATGACTTGCACTGAAGTAGCCTGTAAATCAGTACAGAATACTGGCGCTGATTTGGCTGAACACAAACACCGGTTAGATCCCTGCATGCCGAATTGACCCTATTTTTTCAGGTCTTTTATCCATTCCTAGCCTTGAGTTTGTCATCTGTAGAATGGCACTCCTTCGCAAGCTTTTGGTCCAGAATAAAAGAGATAGCCTTGCAGAACAGCGTTTTGGTAGCACGCACTTGTCAAACAACCTACGAATCTTTATCATCATTAAAGTCACCATCACTTCTCTTGGTTGGTTCATTTAATACAACTCCCCAGGCTGCCACTTCCAGTGAGATGCTGGGATGTCCAAAAGGGAAGGCTGCTTTCAGAATGGCAAGACAGACAATAACGCCGCTTCATCTCCCTCCCTTTACCTTCCAAGAATTAACTCAAGTCCCAGGTGACGCTTTTGTCCCTCCCTGGATGAGATCAAGGGGAAGCAAGACTTCCCCTTCTAAGAGGCCGACGTGTAACACAAGCTGGCCAGATCCCCGAGCATGATTTGTCTCCTGCCGCTTTGAGCTCCATCACCGCCAGCCTGCCTGTTTTAAGCCCTACCATTCTCGGTTTATAACTCAGCTGTAAACATTTATTTGTGCCTGAAGCACATTCCTTTCCTACCCTTTGAAAAAAATCAGAATTTCCAGATGGTATGCAAGTTGGAAAAAATGGCAAAGACTGTTATTCTGTTTAGAAACATGTTTTTCTACACTTGCCCTTTCAGCAAAAACTTCATAATGATTTTTACTCATTGGCTTAATGCACGGTACTAGGAGCCAGATTCGCGGGGAGGTTGGTAATTCTTCCTCTGGCTCCTGTCACTCAGCCTCTCGATGCATACAGCTCAGGGTTTCAAATGATCACTTCTCGGCATGGGACTTTTCCAAACTTGGTGATGTTCCCAGAAGGACAAGGGGTCAAACATCACCTTATAGCACAACCATTAGCAAGTACGCCTGTAGCTTACGTCGATGC